CACCCTGCTGAATTGTGGCGCTTACTTTGCCAAGTTGGATCTCGCTGATGCTTATCTGCAGATCGAGGTCTCCCAGAGTTGCGCGAATTGTTGACCATCAATACCCACCGCGGTCTGTTCCAATATACCTGGCTGGCCTCTGGTGTAAAAACCGCTCCGGCCCAATTCCAACAAATGATGAACGCAATGCTCTACGGCATCCCTGGCACACCTGGGTACCTGGACGACATCATCAACGTGGGTCGCTCTCCTGCGAGCTCCAGGACCGAGTGTGCGCAGTACTCGAACTTACGCATGAATATGGCTTCCGCCTGCGGGTCGACAAGTGCCAATTCTTCCTCGACTCCATCAAATATCTCGGATTCGTTTTTGATGTCACTGGTCACCATCCAGATCCTGAAAACATTCGAACCATCCAACGGATGCCTGCCCCCAAGAATGTATCGCAACTTCGTTCGTTCCTTGGCATGGTCTGCTATTATAATGCCTTCCTACCATCGTTGCATGACGTACGGGCCCCGCTCAACCGTCTGTTGCAGAAGGATGCTCCCCGGTGCTGGTCCCCCGACTGTGAAAAGGCCTTCGTCCAGCTAAATTCGATGCTGAGTTCAGATCTGCTGCTCACGCACTACGACCCGACGCTGCCGATCGTTGTTGCTGCAGATGCTTCCAACCACGGAGTTGGTGCCGTCACCTCACATACTTTTCCTGATGGGTCTGAAAAGGCGATCATGCATGCATCTCGCACGCTTACACCTGCGGAGAAGAACTACGAGCAAATAGAGAAAGAGGCTCTAGCCCCCGTATTTGTCGTCAAGAAATTTCACAAACTGTTGTACGGTCGCCACTTCATGTTGTTAACAGATCACGAACCAATGCTATCAATCTTTGGTTCGAAGAAACGCATTCCGGTCTATTCAGCCAACCGACTTCAGCGGTGTGCAACCATCCCTCTTGGCTGTGATTTAGACATTCGCTACTGTCACACAACAGAATTTGGTCAGGCTGACGCCCTTTTGCGCCTCATCAGCAATCAGCAAGAACTGGAGGAAGATACCGTGATTGCCGCTATTTCGATTGAGGATGATGTGCGCCGTCAGTTATCAGACGCCATAAGAGGTATCCCTGTCACTGCCGCGGACATCCGGCATGCTACTGAACAGGATTCTGTCCTCCGACAGGCCATAACCTCTGTGCAGATCTGCTGGCCAACCACTGCTCTCGCTGGCGATCTTCGCCAGCATTTCCTCCGCCGAGTATCGCTATTTGTGGTCGACTCCTACCTCATGTTTGCTGACCGTGTGGTGATCCCATCTTCCCCCCGACCCACCGTACTACGCTAGTTCCATGCCGCTCGTCCTGGTACCAGCCGAATGAAGTCTGTTGCTCACAGTTTGGCTTACTTGCCGGGTATCGACGGCGACATCGACGACCTGGTTCGACGCTGTTCTCGATGTCAACAAGCTGCCAAGATGCCGCCTCGTCAACCTCCAATACCCTGGCAACCACCGGAGAGGCTTTGGCCACGCGTGCATATCGACTTCGCTGGCCCACTTAACGGAGTCTCCTATCTAATCTTGGTTGAGGCCTACTCGAATTGGCCCGCTGAATCCAGCGACCGCGTCTGCGTAGCCGGTTGTGTTTACTTTGTCTGCTGCTTTGGTATTGGGGACAAGGATCGAGTGCGCATACGCTCCACGGGATTTCGAGTACCAGGCGATCATAAAAATTTTGTACAGATTTAGCCTACCCCGTCTAGATTTGATATGTAAATTTAGTGTTACTTGCCTTGATGGGACCCCCATGGGTCTTTAATAAAAATTATTTATTAATTTATTTAGACTCAAAAGTATCTCAAATCTAGATTCGGAATTGCCCCTGCACACAACCTTGGGAGACTCAGTCATTCCACTTGCTGATTTTGTTCTTTATGTGTAAACTATTGCCACGACGGAGGCAATGCGGGTAACGGCCATAGCGGACGACGGTATACAGGGAGGTCCTTCTCCTAAAAATATGTTTCCGGAATTGAAGTTTGCAAATCTTTCGTGATTCTGGAATCTGTATGCCACTTTGAGCATTCGGAAAATTCCGGCTGCCAAAAACTTTTACGACCAAAAACTCCAAAAAATGGGAAAATTTTTTCAGTTCGGACTGTTTCAAATGGAAAAAGTTGACAACATCCGATTAGAAACGCACGCTGTCAGCTGTCAGCTGACCCCTTCTATTTCATATGACCTGTGTTAAGAACAAAGCCCCCTACGTTATCACCCGTTTTATGCACTAAGAAGGGTGTCCCCACTCACTGTTCCCCTGCGTTGCTCTTGAGGCTACCCGCATGTGCACTCAACGATACCGTCATTGGGTTGTTTTCGGAATAATTGGAAACTTTATTTAAACGAGTTATATGTTTGAACAAGTTGAGGCGAAAGGATAAGCAGGAGTTAATGTAGTCCAAAATTTTGTTACCTCTTGCTCAGCAGCTTTCGTGGTTTTTAAGGGTGCCTTGTTCGAATCAAAGAAGAATAGTAGATTATTGTACATAATGACACAGTAGGAAATGGGCTAAAAGTGGGAATTCACCTGAAACCGATATCTACAAGTTCGTTGACTTCTCCGTTGCATCGATTCGCATTCAGCAGCAAGCTTTTGAGACCACAATTCTTTTCTTACGAAATCGAAAGCAAACTTTTGGCATTCTTTGGGATTACTGTCTGGCTGTCATTCGTAGCGCAATTAAAATGGCCGTTACGGGTTGTTTCACAGTAATATTTAACCTCGTATTTCATCGCCTGCCACAAGACTTGTTATTTGACTATAGGTTGTGTCGTAGCTAAAAGTTTTTTATGTCATACTGTCATAGCGGGGGTTGCGCGAAGCATAAGCGCACCCGGGTACATCACGCTTCTTGACATCCCAAAACACTCAAAAATAGTGACGCAAACGGAGGCGAGAACCTTGTATATACTTAGGTTCAGTTTCAGTTTGTTAGATAAGGATAATAGGCAAAGACTTTGAAAACCCTATTGATTACATGTCAGCTCGTTGGAAATAACTGCACACGAACAGTGAAAACATTCGCTATGAAGACAGTACTTGATTCATTTGAGTAGCATTGTTTCAGAGAAAAACGTTTTCGGGATACTCATTTCAGATTCACCTTGTCGAGGGAAAACAGGGGAGATAAATAATCATCCAAGCGTTTCTTGAAGAGTTGTAGTGACGTCGCCTCCACGACTGACTGAGGGAGAGCGTTCAATTTCTCCACTACCCTTTGTGTGAAAAATTCAGAACGGAGATTCAGCCTGGACACTGTTGTCCGCAGCTTCATCGAGTGACCACGAAGTCTGGGTGAAAGGTGCCACTGAAACATGTTCTCAAACCTAAGTCCATGCTCAAGGCCATGTATTATCTTGTAGACGAGAATAAAATCACCTCTTTGCTGCCTGAAACGCAGACGGAATAAATTAAGACAATTCAGTCTGTCCGTGTAGGACTGACTTTTTAGACCCTTAACCGGCTTTGTTTCACGACGTTATACCCGTTCGAGACATGCTTGGTCCTTTACAAGCCATGGCCGCCATGCTTGTATGCCATATTCTAAGTGGGGCCGGACAAAGGTGCCGTAAACTTTTCCAAAAAAGTCTTGATCAAAGATGACGAACGCCTTTTTAATTGCATAAAGCACTCCCATGGCGTTTTCTGCAGCCTTGTTGCACTGCAGTGTTGGTTTCAGGTTGTTCTCTACCCAAACCCCGAGATCCTTTTGTGAAGATCCTGCGGGGAGCCTTATATCTTTCAGGTGATATGTCCTCAGACTCTCATTTGAATGAGAGTTGGTTGGACGCAGATGAAGGACGACCCTCTTTTTCAGTATAATTCAGTATATAAGAGGGATAGAGGCAGAGCCTTGGAAAACCCTATTTACAGATAGACGTATTAAAAAAAGCATGCAGATATTTACATAGCAGTTATACCAGTCATTGATATCATGTAAATGTTTGACCATCAAGCATAAGTTTATCTAGTCTTCTTTTGAAAGTCTCGACGTTTTCCGCTAAGACAACGGAGTTCGGCAATCTGTTCTAGCCCTCAACCAGCCGGTGAGAGAAGAATTTGGCCTGCAAATCGAGGCTGGCATGTTTCGTCTTCAATTTGTATGGGTGCCCTCGGAGATTTGTCATCCGCGCCAGTTAGAAGAAGTCGTCAAACTGAAGAGCACAGTCTAGCCTTTGGACGATCCTCAAGGCCATGATCATGTCCCCTCTGTACTGTCTATAAGAGAGAGGAAATGTTTTTAGCCTCTCCAGCCGTCTCTCATAAGGTAAGCCACATAATCCGCCGACTAGCCTGGTCGCTCTGCGTTGTACGTTCTCCAGTAGGGTGTAATCTTTTTTCTTCCAGGGACGCCATGCCTGGACACAATATTCCAACATTGGTCGAACATATGCGCCAAATACTCGGCCGAAAAGTTCTTCATCAAAATTGACGAAAGATCTTCTAATCGCGCCTAGAATACCCATAGCTTTCTTTGATGCCTTAGCGCAGTGAGACGATGGTTTGAGGGTTGACGTCATCCACACACCGAGGTCTCTCAACTCGTTGACTGATTCGAGTTGGTGACCTCCTATAAAGTACTGAGATTCAAATCTCAACGGTCTCCTGTTGCTCGAACGTAATCGGATAATTTGGCATTTGTTACGATTGAGGCTTAGACACCACTCATCACGCCATTTTTGCAAGCGATTTAAATTGTCTTGTAATTGTACAGAATCTTCCGGCTTCTCTATTGATTGCCACAATTTGAGATCGACGGCAAACATAACTCGCTCGCAGTTCAGACAGTCCAGGCAGTCGTTCACATATATAAGGAACAGAATTGAACCCAGTACGCTTCTCTGCGAACGCCACTGTGCACGGATGTGCATTCCGCTTTAGCGTTTCCGATACACACGCGATGAGATCTGCCCGTAAGGAAATCGACTAGCCATTTCAAAAGATTTCCATTCACACCAACTTGACGTAGTTTACATGTAAGTCGTCTGTGTGGAACACTGTCAAAAGCCTTTTTGAAGTCGATGTAAACGGCGTCGACTGATAAGCCCATGTCAGCTGATTTCGTCCAGCTCTCCATGGAAACTAGGAGGTTGGTGAGAAAAGATCGACCGCTTCGGAATCCATGCTGATGTAGACTGAGCAAGTTGTTTTCTTCGAGGTGCCGCATCAGCTCCGTTTTTATTACTCTTTCCATTAACTTGCAAAAGATGCGAGTGAGACCCACTGGTCTGAAACTATTTGGGGCTGTTATCTTGCCACCTTTATAAATGGGGCTTATATTTGCTTTCTTCCAGTCGGTAGGCAAAGCCCCGGTCTCCATTGATGTTTTGAAGATCTTGGATAACGGAGAGGCCAGTTGGTCTGAGAGCTCATTCAGAACTTTCTCTAACACGCCGTCCGGACCAGGGGATTTAGTGGGCTGTAGTTGCCTCACAGTTTTCCTTACCGTGTCTGTTGTGAAGTCCACCGTGCTAATTGTACTGTTTTATTTGACATTTGGGGGGTAAACTCTTTTATCAAAAGCCGGCTCCTCAGTATACACAGACGTGAATAAGTCGGATAACAGATTCGCCTTATCTGAGTTGTCAGACAACGTATTTCCCTGGCGATCTTTTAGACAGGGAATGCAGTCCCGGTTGCGTTTTGCTTTATTCACGTATCCAAAGAATTTTTTGAATTTTGCTGGATATTTTTTAAAAGTTTTGATTCAAATTTAGCCTGTTGCCTTCTTAACAGATTCCGACATAAATTCCTTTGTCTTTTGAAGTCAGCGAAATACTCTGGTTGCTGGCAACTGGCGTACTTTGTCCAAAGTCTCCTTTTCAATTTAAGATTCTTCTTTATTTCTGACGTCACCCACTCTGGTCGGGATGTGCGCGGCTTCCTCTTCAGTGGGCAACAGCTCTTTACCAAGTGCTGCATTATGTTCTTGAAGAAGAGCCAATCGCTTTCTGGGTCAGATCCTTGTGCTGCATTCCAGTTCACCTTCTGTAACAGGTTTTTCATTCGGGTATAATCCCCCTTCCATACGTTTCTTTCTTCAGCAGCTCGAATTTCGGGTACTGAAAAATGACTATACTCCCAAACCAGAACGCAGTGGTCACTTCGGCCAAGGGGCGGATGCGATTCCAATCCGAGAATGCAACTATCATCCCTGGTGATGATGAGGTCCAAACAACTGGACTGCTGTCCATCCCTGAATTGTGTGTTCACTTTAACATGTTGGGTAAGGAACTCGGTTGTGATCAATTGCATAAATTTCTGTTTGAAGGAGTTTTCTGATCGCGTGCAATACATCAAATCCCACTCTATGTCTGGACAGTTGATGTCACCAAGTAGCATTGTGTGTTTGCTTCGACAAATTTCTTTTTTCTCGGTGATAAGTGCATCGTCCGCATCCGTTCTCTGGTTTCGCGGTCTGTAAAGCAGGGTCATATGGAGGCTTGGATGGTTTGGCACCTTCAAGTAGCAACTGAGTATTTCACAATCAATGTGCCGAAATGGGGAAGACTCAACCCTGACGTAGTCGATGCCATCTCGTATAAATATCGCAATACCCCCACCCCTTCGTTCGTTTCTGTCCGTTCGGAGAATCTGGAAACCATCTAGCATAACTTCCACATCTTCTATCTGCGCATTTAACCATGTTTCTGTTACAGCTATCAAGTCGGGTTGGAAATGGGCCACAGTGAGTTTTATTTCATCCAATTTGTTGAATAAACTTTGCACATTTGTGTACATCATTTTTATGTTATTCGACTGTTTCGATCTCTGGAAACTGTTTGCTGGTGCTTTTGACTGATGGTTATTACTGCTTATTTCACATGGCGTACCATTTCCATTCGTAGATTGTGAATTTACTGAAGTTTGTCGGAATCGAGCGCCGGTGCTGTTACCGTCATCGTTATCGTATGATTCCACAAGAAGGAACGCTCTATTTTTACAATTTGATTGTTTGCTATTTTCAGATTCGTTTCGCCCTCGCTCTGACGTTTTCTCAGTTCCGCTACCAGCGTCCTCATTTTCATTCGTTCGATTGGGTGATAGTCCGGCTGAAAAAACACTTCACGATGGTTGTTTTTGATCCTGGACTTTCGCGACAAGATGAGATTTGCTTGCTGTTCGTTTCCCAGTACGACTTTCAGTGGTCTCGGCCGCAGTTTGTCTGCGTTGTTTCTTACTAAAGGTCCCAAACGGAAGATCTTTTGGATTTTGACTACCTCACCGGGTTCTTGCGTGTCATTGAGTAGGTTTTGGAATGTCTGCAGATCGTGTTTCCCCCTTTCGTTCGGGGTATCACCAGGTGCTTCAGGAACTCCTTGCACTACCACACAACGAGATCTGTCGGGGAAAAAACCGGTGCTTTTATCCTGCCCTCTTTTGCTGGCGGTAGATTGAGTCTCAGACTCTGGGACTGCCTTGGTGGCTGTATCCAGATCAGTTGCTAAGTTGCTCGCGTCCGCGATATATGCTGTAACGTCTTTAATTGGCTGCCTCATCTGACTTTTTGCATTATAGTCTGATAGACATGTGAAGGACAAGCTGCTAGCGCTCTTTGTTGGCGTACGTAAGTCCATACAATTACTTTCTACAGGTTTTTTTGGGGTTGCTGATCGTTGTTATGTTTTGGTGCAGACGGACTCTGCATGGTCCAGATTTGTCAAATTTATGGAAATGCGGACGCCAGTTTCATCTCTGTCTGTCGTATTCTTATTGCCGTCCATTTCGGTTGAGTCCGAAGACTTGTCTAGTGACTTCGTGCGTTGCCTCTTGTTTCGCTGAACGCGACGACCATGACCTTTTACCGGTTTCTTGACGTTCATGTGGTCCGGCTCATTGGTGTTTTTTATGTCCTTTGTATCTTGCTCAGGGGGTTTAATTTTGTTATACTTAAGAAGTGACGCTATTCTTTCAGTGAGGAGGTCGACGTCTACTTCTAGTTTCAAAACTCTGGTGGTGAGTTCTCGACATCCATTACAGCGTGTCGACATGTCAGTGTCTACCTTATTTGTGGCTGATATCATCAGTGAACTGCGTTCGATAGGGTTCATGGTCGGTGGCCCATCACGTCCAGCTGAGAGCGAGTTGGGTATTTCCGGCAAGTTTTTATAACAGGAAATAGAAAACGGTTTACAAATAAGTGACAGGTCGCCTTTTCCTGAGTATATATTATTTTTGTGAACATCAGGCTGTCCTGACGTGGCCGGGCGGTCAAGGGCGTCGATCCCTGCACGAGTGGTCCGTGGTTCGAATCTCGGGTGTGGGAGACTTTTGTCACTCAGTAGGGTCGTGGACATTCTCATTCCCCATGCTGGCAAGATATCTTTGAGGTTGCATTAACTTATAATGGGCGAATTCAATTACTAAGTAGCTACTTTACTGAGCACAAAGTTAAGCTTTTTTCCAAACGGAATTCAGTATAAAATGGCAATTTAGAGCTAAGAACGACTCAGCCTTCGCAGACAGGTTCTAAGTACTCTTCGATTTCTGTCGGTTATCCAGCACTTCGTCGACGGAAGATTAGCTTCGGAAGCACGATAGAGACGGTATTAGTAGGAATCTGAACTCGACCGACTGGATGCCTTGTTAAACTCCGGATTGTGGATTCCTGAGAGCCACGGTGAAGGATGAAGTTTGAAATCCAGAAACCATTTCTCCGATCACGCTTGCTGTCGATGAAGAATATTTTGGAGGACTCTCTGGTCGTAAGGACACTTAATGACTTGTCAGAGCTGAACGTCGTCGGCAAACATTATTTTGCCGCAGTCAAGTTCCTGAAGGCTGTCGTTAACATAAAGGATGAGGAGCAATGGTCCCAGAACTGAGTCTTGAGGCACATTACTGGTCACGTTCACCCATTCTGACATTTCATCTGCGATACAGACACGTTGTTTCGACCAACCAGAAAAGCCCTTATCCAGTTCAGAAGATCTCCCCGGATGCCGATAGAGCTCAATTTATGGAGGAGGTTTTGGTGTGGAACATTGTCGAAAGCTTTGCGAAAATCGATGTACACGACATCAATTTGGAGCTCCAAACCCTCTTCTAGAACCCTGGTCCAGATCTCCAGACAAGCTAGCAGATTTGAGAGGCAGGAACGTCCTCGCCGGAAGCCATGTTGAAAATCCTGCAAGATGTTATTTTCTTCGCAAAATTGCTGTATAGCTCTCTTTACTAGAGCTTCTATCGTTTTGCATGAGAGACAAGTTAAGCTAATAGGCCTGAAGCTGCTTGCTGCCATCCTGCTGCCGCCCTTATGTAAGGGAACGAGGTTAGCTGTTTCCACTGTGAAAGCGGCCTTCCTGTTCTCATTGACAAATCGAAGTGAGTCGAAAGAGGCTTCGACAGCTCCGTTGATAGCTCCTTAAGTATCAGACCAGGAATTCCGTCGGGTCAAGAGACTTATCTGGTTTTATTTGACTGAGGACGCGTCTTACTACTTCGATGGAAAAGGCAACGCTTTCAATGACGGCAGTATCCTGCCGCATTTTAAGCTCCCGGCTGTCTCGGTCCATTTCAAACTGCTAATTGTATTCTGAGGACACCTCCGTAACAACTGAATGAAAAAAAACAGAGACAGTAATTGCATTTTCTCTGACACTTCAAATAACAAGTTTCCGAGGCTATCCTTTGGATATGCAAGTTAACGTACTATTTATATTTCCTCGCTACACGACACACTTTGCACTCATAGTTTGGCGGACTTCGAATGGCGAGTCTCCTCCTATGTAGTGGATGGCTGCTGCTCAGCTGACACAAATATTTCGTGCGGACATGTTTATACTGCGAAACGCTGTGGTGTTTGATATATGGCCTCTATAACTGACAGCCTGCTGTATGTGCTGAACCAATACATAGGCGAGCGTACGCCGCGATAATAGGGAACCTGGTCGCCCCGCCTTTTTAACCTGTTCTA